TTCCCTGAGATGATCTGCTCACTCTTTTTAAATATTCTCTATCGTTAAGGCAAGTTTAAGTTTCATCCCCCTGCTGTTACCACAATTTCTATTCTTTCACATGTTGATCACTTCTCTGAAGGAATCTACCAAAGATAGAACAAACTGAACACTTAAAAAAAAAATCGTTTGTAGTAAAAGGATCGACTGATTTTTTCTTTAAAGAGCCTGAGGGTAAATATTTTTAGCCTTTGTGAGCCACTTACATCTCTGTCACATATTATTTATTTTTTAACCCTTTAAAAATATAAAAACCATTCTTAGCTGACCATTTCTAGCTGTGGACTGCCAACCCTAGCTCTATAGAATCAAACACTTAATGGGCCACCAGTAAAGAGCAGCAGATAAAAATAGCTTAGTGCTTAGTGAGCGCTTAATGATATGCCAGGTATTTAACAGGGGTTATATTATCTAATCTCATTTAATCCTCACAAAATCCTTTTGGGTTAGTTGCTATAATTCCCTGTATTTTACATATGAGGGAACCGAAGCATAGAAAGTTTAAGTATCTTACCCAAGATCACATAGCTAGTGATTTGTACTATGATCACACAGTAGTTGATTGAGAAATAATAATTAGTTGATCGAGAGAGATGTTTGAGACCATATGTCTATTTTTTGGGGGGAAATATGCTTCCTTACCCGTGTTACTAATATCTACAAGGCGTGTTAACATTGGAAATGTGTTTACATAATTATGTATATATTGCAGTTTTTGTGGGATACAGTACACATTTTCCTAGGCCTACATTCATTCTCAGCTTTCTCGTTTCATCAGTGCATCCCTGGATATCGGGCTGAGGAAGCAGTGGAGATGTTAAAGACCTTCTACAAACAAGAAAATCCAAATGGTCAGTTTTCCGCTACTGTATGTATGCACTTCACTTAAATCAGTACGAAGAGAGTCTGCACGGGCCTACCTCTTCATTTTCTCTTTTTCTTTTCTATTCTTTGCACAGCACCAAAATCAAAGGTTCGGAAAAAGGAATGTCAGAAATCCTGAACTTGTTCTAATGAAAGACTCATGCTCCTGGACGACATTCTTGGACAGAAAGCTGTTGACATTGTTGAATCGTATGTTTATATATTGTCCTTAATCCATGGGAAAATGGTTTTTCATCATTTGCTCTGTTAAGGGAACAAATTAGCACTTTTAAAAAAAGTCTGGGGCTTCCCTGGTGGCGCAGTGGCTGAGAGTCCGCCTGCCGTTGCAGGGGACGCGGGTTCGTGCCCCGGTCCGGGAAGATCCCACGTGCCGCGGAGCGGCTGGGCCCGTGAGCCATGGCCGCTGAGCCTGAGCGTCCGGAGCCTGCGCTCTGCAATGGGAGAGGCCACAACAGTGA